TATGGGCAGTCTATCTGAAGTGTACCTGGCATATAAGACGACCCCCCACTTGGAGGCATATTTTTCAGGGCCAAAAAATCATCTTATACGCCGGCACATACGGTATGTAAATACAATGGTTTTCAGTAATAAAAGCTCACATCATGTTGAAATTACCAGTGACATCATGGGGCAATGATGCTGGAACTCTCGAATGCCCTTGTAAGAGGTTGGCACCTACTCCCTTGCCCAATCCGTCCCTGAACTAGAGGACTGTTCTGATTGCCAACAGCTTTCATCGACCTAAGCAACATTCACATAAATGGCTGCAATTTAGGCTTTTGCTTCTTCAAAGCACTAGCGTGTTGTTTAGTGCAATTTGGTTGTCAAAAAAACTGAAGATTTTTAGTATGTTGATCAAAATTTATAAATTTCTTTATACTTCATTTAAATCCTGGCAAACAGAGGCATCTCCAAAGTTAAATACATTTACTTCAATCAAGCAATGTGGGGAAAAGGTGTTCTTCTAAAGCAGGGCTCCGTGTTCCTAGCAGCTTTGTGGTTGACTAAAATGTTTAGAAGTTACAAATGAGGAATCAAAGGCAAAATTTGCCCCTAAGCCAACAGAACCGCCTTTTGCCTCAATAAAAAATAAGGCAGGGCCGGCCAAGTGGCTCAGTTAGTTAAGAGTTGGCTTAACAGCGCAAGCTCTGAGCAACAGGGCCGCCGGTTTGATTCCCACATGAGCCAGTGACGCTGCGCCCAAGCTGAGCTGTTGCTGAGCTGCCAACAGGTGACAGGATGGCTCAGCTGGTGTAACAAGATTGCCTGTTCGATGGTGCGCTACACCCACCCGCAACTAAGACTGAACTCGGCACCTTGAGCTGAGCTGCCACCCAGATGGCTCAGTGAATACAGCATGTGCTCTCAACAAGGCTGCTGGTTCGACTCCCGCAAGGGATGGTGGCTATGTCCACCTGCAACTAAGATTGAACACAGCACCTTGAGCTTAGAGGCCACGAGCTGCTGACGAGAAGCCAGATGGCGACTGGCGCCCTCCACAAAGAAGACTGAAGAACAACAACTTGGCTGGTCCCCTTCCCCAATTCCCCAACACTGTTCCCCTCCTCCAATTCTTCAATAAAATCTTAAATAAAGTCCCATTTATAAAAACAAAAAAATAAAAATAAGGCAAACAGTTCTCCAATATGTCTCCACTTTATTAAGGTTAACCAAATGGTATTTATGTATCTAAACATTTACTGTAAGTTTCAGTGACATTTAGGTTCTGAATTATCTTTCCATAATTAAGTTAATTTAGGCACATTGACTCATATTTTATAGAAAACACTTATTTAGGTTACAAATAGGAATGAGTATAATTTGCAAATGTTACAAAGAAGATTCCAAATCGCAGCTAACCTCTTTCCCAAACTGCAACCACTTGTTTAGTCTTTTAATGAATAGAGACCAAAAACAAATGCTTAAATGTATCATCACTGTGAGATTCTGGCGACTGAGGAATCCCTGAAGGAGCAGTAAACTGTGATTACTGGAAAGCTCAGAGCACTGACAAGGCTTAATTGTAAAGCACTTAACAGAAGGCCACAGATTTTGTTTTCCTAAGAAAAGCTAGGAACTACAGATGTCATTTAGTAATGCATTGAAATGGCATTGCTAGGTGAATGCTGCACTGAAACTCCAGGTCACCTCTTCTTGATCCATTATTTTGGATAAGCTTCCACTATCATAGCATGGCCCTGTAAAGGAAAAAGAGTTCAATTAGGGCAGTGAAAAAGTGATGGATGCAGCCAGATAAAAGCAGCAGAGAACAATGGGAAAAGCATAGGCTTGACCTCAGGGTCCCAGAGTTTGACCCTGGCTTTGCCATTCAAACACTGTATGATTTGGGAAAAATTATTAGCCATTCTGAACCTCAATTTCCTCTATAAAATGGGGCCCATGGTGCTGACTTCATAGTGTTTTTGTGAACATTAAATTAGATAGCATACTATATACACACACACATTTCTATACACACATATATACATGATACATATATGCATAAGAGTCTGTCTACTAGAATCCGATTCCTAGTAGATGCTCCATAAGTGGTTGCTACTAAAATGAGAAGCCACAGGGGGCTTTTTCAGCTGTACAAAAATAAACATAATGCAAGGCCAGCCGAGTGGAGCGTTGGTTAAGATTTCGCTTGGGAGCACGAGCTTTAAGCAGCAGGGCAGCCAGTTCGGATCCCACATCTTAGCTCTACAGCTAAGATGGTGAACAACAGCTCGACCTGGAGCTGGGCTGCCGTGACTCGCCGGCAATGGTGTAGGCTGCAGTGGGGCTGGCCAGCAGCGGGCATGAGCTTTTGTGAGCGGCCATGAGCCACCGTGAGTGGCCATTCAATGGCTGGCGACCGACCAATCTGCCTCAGCCAGGAAGAGTGCAATGATAATACCAACATGGGCCAGTGAAACGATGTCCTCCACTAGACTGAAGAACCAAAGGACAGCAACTTGTCTGTTCCTCTTCCCTGATTCCCCAATGCTGTTCCCCTCACCCAATTCCCCAATAAAATCTTGCTTCACTGTTCTACTCAGGTGAAGATGATCCAAGGACCCACAAAGGTAAGAAGCTAAAGAATCCCTTTTCCAGCAATGTGCAGTGCTGTGCACTAGTTACCTCCCTAGTTGAAAGCAAGCATAGATATTTATGATTTCGTGAGTCTAAATCCTATCTGATAATCACAGTCATTCTATCTTTTGGACTGCCATCAAATCAATTAATAGCCTAATAGCCAATCTCCTTGTTTCTTGGTTCAGTTATATCCCCATAAATATTTATTAAGCAACTATTATTTGAAAACTGTTTGAGTACAAAGATTTGCTACATAGTCTCTGACCCCAATCTAATGTATACTGTAGTTCAAAGCAAACTAATA